CTGATTTGTTTTTCATGTATCCTGGGCAGATTATCTCCATTGCAGGTTACCTCCACGATCAAGGATTAAATCCCTGAGCCCTCTTTTGCCAGGTGTGCACTCGCCTGGCTGTTATCCCTGCTGTGCCCAGGTAGCAGACGGGAGCTGTGCAGTGTCCGAGGGTGCCGGGGTGGGATGGGTGTATTTTGTTTTAGCGAAGAACTGACTTTCTGCTTTTGCTTTGCACTTTGTGTGTAGATGTGTCCTTATCATGGATCCCTGATGAACTGTCCAAAAACCCCCTCACAATAGGAAGGAAGGCAGAAAACAATCACAGAATCACAGAATTGCCTAGACTAGAAAAGACCTTTTAAGATCATAGAGTCCAGTCACTAACCTCACACTGAAAAGTCCCCAACTAAACCATGTCCCTAAGCACTCTGTCTAAATGACTCAAATACCTCCAAGCATGGGCACTCCACCACTGCCCTGCGCAACCCCTTCCAATGCCTGAGAACCCTTCCAGTAAATAAATTGTTCCTCGGATCCAATCTCAACTGCCCTTGGCCCAACTTGAGGCCATTTCCTCTTGTCCTCTCATTTGTTCCTTGGTTGAACATTGCAGCAAAAGGACTGTTGTCATGTTTATAAAAGCTTAAATATCCCAGTGTGCAACAGAGGTGTCCAACTCCTGTGCCTGCAGCTCATTTCCATCCTCATCCAAGCAAAACCCCTGCTGCAGGATCAGGGAAAGCTGTCTGTCTGCTCGGGGGGTTTGCCCCCTGTGCCTTCGACACACGACACAACGGTGTGCACCAAACAAGAGGGTTTTTCCTCTTTCCCCTTTGGCAGCAGAGGAACTTGCCTGAAGCTCCTATCCCCATCGTGTCCCTTCCAGCACAGGCTGAAGTCTCACTCAGGGCTGTGCATTGCAACTGTCCAGAATATTTCTTGTAGCCTGTCACCGCGTGTCTGGGAGAGGATTCCTGCCGTGTACATGGGGCTCTGCCTAATCTCCCCGCTGCATGCCGCTGCTGAGAGCCGGCCGGGGCGATGCTGCCCGACGGCACTGCTGCACGTGGCCACTGAGTCAACTGTTGAGTTCAAGTGGCTCACGGAGAGGCCACGCTTAGAAGCGATGCTCTGCACACACAGAAATCCTCATGTTTCAAGATTAGGGAGCAATGAAGGCTTTGGGAGGTCAGCGAGGGGAGGAGATGTCTGGATGTGTGTGAGAGGGAGAGCTGCAGTCAGGCCTGCTTTCTCTTTGGCTTTGAGGCACAGCTCAGGCACGTAGGAAAGGGGATATTTTTCTCTTTGGCTTGAAAAAGCAGAGTTATTTATGTTAGATAAAAGGTTGTGGAAAGCCCCAGTGTTCCCAAGGTGGAGGATCACCACCACTGGTACACAGCACCAGTAACCAGTGCTGCTGCCTCTCCCTTTTCCCTGCCATGTCAGCAGCATTGCTGCAGAGGAAAGATGCTTTGTCATCTCCCACCGTACCCTTCACACCCTTCCCAGTTCAGCCCTGAGTGTCCCCACTATCAAGTCCTGACGTGTCACAAGCCAGTGGCCTCCTCCCAGGAGCAGGGCCGCTCTGCCGGGCAGCATTTAATGTCTCCATCCAGCTCCACTTGGGCTCAGCTGAGCTGTGAACCCAGCAGACAAGTAGAACCAGGAGCTGGGATGCCTCTGGAGTGATCCCTCAAATCACCCCAGAAAAGATGGATGACAAGTAAATGCCACGTTAGAGCAATGATGCAATAAACAGAATTGTCAATAAAGCGGCACTGGGGTTGGTCTGAAACGCTAACCAGGACCTGCTCTCTCTTCCCGTTGCAGAGCTTCAGCGAGAAGGAAGCATAGAGACGCTGAGTAACAGCTCGGGTTCCACCAGCGGCAGCATCCCACGCAACTTCGACGGCTACAGATCGCCCCTCCCAACTAACGAGAACCAGCCCCTCAGCCTTTTCCCCACTGGATTCCCTTAAATTAGCCAAACATCCCAAGGGAGATCCAGACAGAGTGACGAGCCGCCTCTCCGCCTAAACAATCCCGATGTCTTTGTCACCTGCCAGTTGGCCGCTGCGCTGGATGGTTCTCGTTACCCTGATAAACATTGACAACTCTTAAACCTTCCTGAAACGTGCTCACGAAAACCTTGACTTTGTGTTCCTGTGCAATATGAAGAGACTCCGTCTTCAATCCCAATAGCTCTGCGGCTTCTTTTTTCGCTGTGTTCAGGAAGAGGTTGGTTGAGGAGAAATATTTCTTAAGCCATTTTGGGTCAAGCACATGGTTGCACAACCATTCTCTGCTTTTTTTTCGTGTTGAGAGATGAAGGGAATCTCCATAACTCAGAGGAGCTCTCGCCGTTTGCCGAGCATTAACGAACGGACTGGAGAGAGCGGAAACTGGAGAACTTTCTGTGGACAGGGTTGATAATGTTATTATTCCTTCCTTGTTGCGTCTCCTTGCTGCCCTCCTTCCCCACTGATACTCATCCATGCCAGGAGTATTACAAATGGAAATGTTTCTTTTTGTTCTTTGGAAAGATTATCTCTATTGCTCCGGTTTTCTTCTAGTCATGTATTTTAGAAATGTACTTAATTGACTAACTGCAGTCACGGATTTCTCATATTTGGTTATAAAAGTTGTTCATTGGAACTCAGATATCTGTCCAGAAATGCATGTGTCATTGAATAAATCTAAGTTAAACAAGAAACTGCTTAAATGGCAATGTTCATGGAGTGTTACTGGGCTGGCTGTGGGCTTCATACGTCTTCCTGGACCAGATCATGTGCATATTTACTAACTTGAAGGCTTTAATTAAAGCCATCAGTGGATGTCATGCAGCCAGTCTAGCTTGTTTTTGCATCCCTGCTTTCTCATCCCCGTGTACAAGGGCAGGGTTTTAAAAAATGAGCAACTGAGATGGTGTTCCTCACATGCTCTGAAAATCAACACCCACCTCTGTTGGGGTGTCTGACCCCAGCTCCAGCTCCTTATGTTGGTTGTGTTCCCGCTTCTTCATCCCATGGATTTTGGTGGGATGAGGACCAGGTGTGCTGGAAGCAGAGGCACCCACCTATGTTTTTTATATTATAGGATCACATATAAGGGGTTTGCAGAACCCGTATAACAGCCTGAACCTATATACCCGGCTGAACATGTGCAGTCAAAACCAGCACTGCATAACTGCTGATAAAATAGTCCTGGGCTCACACATAGGAACCACACGAATTCCTCTCTCTCAGCCAACTTGTGTTGAGAAGCAGAGAGTGAGATGGGGCTGTCAGCTCACGAAATTTCCTTCCCACTACTTGTTTTTAATAGAAGCCGTTTGACTCATGGCAGTGAGAGGAAACTATCGAAACCCACAAATCTTTTTGCACTCTTGGAGCTGAAACCAGCCACGCTGAGTGATACAGAACTAACTGACCACCCTCTTCCTACTCTGTCCCCAAACACCGAATACCAAATGCAGTCTTGGGCTTGATTTTTTTTGTTGTTTTTAACTGTAACACCGCGACTCAGATGTCAGAAGCTTTTTTTTTCCCCCTCCTCTCTCTTCAGGCTTGGAAACCACTAATAAAAACGGAGAGTCTGCAGCAGTAATTTCAGTTTCTTGCTTGGTTTTCAGACAGTCTTTTCTCAAGAAAAAAACCAACTTCCTTGGGATGAAATCAGAGGAGAGTTCGCCCGTAAGTAAGTACTCGCAGCTCCGGCCCCCTGGCTGTATCTGCCATAATGCTGTTTCTTTTATGTCTGTAAAATAATGGCTGGAAGTAAGGGGCTGAGGGTAGGGCTGGCACTGCAGACAAATGGGACCGCAAGGTCAAGTCAGTCCACACCAGACAGGATTTTTAACACAGTTCAAGCCAAGGTCAACTCCAAAAGTTCAAACAAAATCCAGATTAACACATACAGAAGGGATTGCGTTGTCACTGTGATGCTTGTTTCCTTGCAGGCTTTCCATGGAGCAGTGGTAAGGGACAATGTTCCTGCAGAGGAAGGTGACTGCTCTCATCCCTCCTGCCCTGGACAGCTTGGACACTGGTTCTTACTGAACACACAAAGTAGGATAGCGCATAACGCAGAGTGGTGTCATTGGAAATGTATTTGTTGTTGGCAGGCATTAAATCACTTTTTATAAGTGCTGCAATACGGCCATGTGGAAATTCCCAGTCTGCAAGAAGCTCCTTTGAATCAGGATGTTTTGTTTAAAGGGGGGGGGGAGGGGACGGACCTACAAACTGGGGCTGTACCAAAATATTTTCAGTCTGGTTCATTGAAAAGAATGTCCTAAATTCCCCGCTGTTGGTAGCCCTGTAGCCAAACTGTTAAGAAAGCCTGGAGCTTAAAAAAAATAATAAATTAAAAATAAAAAATAAAAGCACTGCTATGAGGTGGCTAATTTAACTTTAATTTGATACTTTCACAGATGACCCAGCAGAATAACCACTGAGTTCCAGCTCTTCAGCGAGCCAGGGAAAGCTGAGTGTGTTGCAACGATAACCCTATGAGGTCTGATTTAATGATAATTCTATAGGGTTTGATTTAACAATAACTCTATAGGGTCTGATTTAATGATAAATCTGTAGGGTCTGATTCAACGATAACTCTGTGAGGTCTGATTTAATGATAATTCTATAGGGTCTGATTTAACAATAGCTCTATAAGGTCTGATTCTACAACATAGGGTCTGGTTCAGCGATAACTCTATAGGGTGTGATTCAGCACATCCCCATGGTGTGTGCCTCGCTCGCAGTGCACGCCTGCTCCCACCAACAGCCCCTGCCTTCAGTGCACACACAAGCCCCCCCATTTCAACTGGGTGCATGCGCTTTCCTGCACCACCACCTTTCCTCCACCGTAACCTCAGCAGCGATGCTCTTCTCAGACATCAGGAGAGAATATTGCTGCTCATTGATGGTGTCTAGAAGCTGCTCCAAGGGAGGTTTGCCCCTGACTTTAATGCAACCAGGCTTTCAGTCTAGAGACCTGATCCAAACCTCACTTAAAGCAAAAGTAGCCAGAGGCTCCTGATCTTCGCTGGATTTCAGATGAATGTCTCCTGTTGTGGACATAACCCAGGTGAGTTTCTGAAATGCGGGATTTTCAAATGCAGTGGCTGGCAGGCGGTCGCAGGCAACCCAGCAAGAATGTTGTGCCATGATATAAACCACTGGCTCAAAAAGAGCCCAAAAGATAGGCTGGACTTGCAGGTTTTTAAACTGTTTCCAGTAGTAGTAAGCAGCAGCCTCCTGCTGAGTTCAAAAGGCAGAACGTCTCATTTAAAGCGGGACGGACTGTATATCACTCTGCGCATAAAGTGGAGCTCTTCTATTAAAAGTTGAGTTCAGATTTCATGAATTAACATGAAATATTGCTTTCTTATCCTACCCTGGTTTCTGTAATAAACATACACGTGGAACATGCTTAAATCACAGGAGGGGAATGTTTGGCTGTTGGAAAAGAAGGGGAAAGTCAAAGGTTCTCTAAATGTGACAGCTTGAAGTTCAAATGAACTCAAATCTCAGAACCAGCCCAGGGCCTGGGCATAACCATGGGGTTTTCCTGGTGCTTTGCAGAGCACGTGGGGCTCGGGCTTCGTTTGCTTTGCTGGTGAAGCTCAGCCCAATGAGCCCCGTTGCCCAAGCAAAGGTGATGAACCCCATCCTGCCACCCATCCCAACCAGGGAGCAGCTGCTGGTTGTCCTACCCCAAGCAGCCTTAGCCAAACCCAAGAACACAATTTGCTGGCACCAAGGCTGGGAGAAGGCAGACCAGGCAGGGGAACCCACCGAGGGCAAAATACCCCCGAGATCTCCATCACAGCGAGCCCGGAGGAGGGTTTTGCTGCAAAGTGCAGCTGTGGAATCCCTGAAGGCGGCTCCCCCTCCTCTCTGTGCCCTCTGAGCACTGGGTTAAACACGCGGTGCTTTCACCAGGGCTTCCTTAGTCACTTTTTTGAGGATCCAGACTGCATCCGTGCCGTGTCTCTACATTTATTTTCTTGCTTCTTTGCTCTGGCTTGTTGCTGTGCGGGGTAGGAAAGTTTGCGCCATTTCCTGTTGTCTTTCCCTTGTGCTCCTGAGATATTGTAAAAATGTTTGGTATCCTCCAGTAGGTTGTAATCACTTCACCCTAATGTTTCACAGCTGCTAAGTGTAACTTTAAACCCAACCATTTGAGTGCTTACAATTAGCGAGTCCGTAGAGCTGAGATCAGGTCTTTGTGATTGCAAAAAGAGAAAATTAAACTTTTTGAGTTTTAATTGGATAAAATGGGAACAAAAGTTGTGGAGATGAGGGGGTTTTTTTAGTGCAATAAATGGTGAGTGGCTTATGTGCTAGGAAAAAAATAATTGAATCCACTGCTTGGCCTGTTTCACAGATGGAAAAGGCACCGGGACAAGCATGTGTCTGCGGCGGCTGCACCTCTGTCCTGGTAACTGCACCAACACCCTCCAAGAGCTCCCGGCTCTCCCTTGGCTGGTGAGAACAGAATTAGCAGCAGAGAAGAGGCTTCAGCTGTGTCCCTCACCTGTCCCTGCCCCAGAGCTGCAGCACAACCGGGCAGCGCTTCACGTCCCACTGTCACCCCGGTCTCGTGCTGGTGTAAAACCGTTTGGTGATGACCCAGCCCCATCACCCTCGGTTTTTGCCTCCCTCAGTGCCTTCAGCCCCTGGAAGGTGTTGGGAGATGAAGGTGCTGTGTTCCTGCAGCCCTGCCAGGTGCTGCCAGAGGGGATGTCTGCACAGCTTGGCTGGAAAAAGACAGAAACTGGGCAAAAATGGTGCATGACTGGTGAGTCCAGCCGTGAATGAAGCAGGTGAAGATGAAGGTTGGGCTGAGGGGCAAAGCCACCAGTGTGTGTGGGGGGACCTGCAGGGTCTGTGTTGTGCAGAGCTGTGTGTAAACGTGCTCTAAGCCTTTCATAAACCAGCACTGGGGCCATTTAACCCCGTGCTGTTCCTTAAAATGA